CAGTTTGTAGCCATAGTTCGAAATTGGTCTCTCAAATTGGGGTATGGGTGCGGTCAATCGTTCCTCTGAATTGTGAACATTGGTCAAATGTTGTTATATTGTGATTATCATTAACACGTCGTCTTTTTGTTGTTTATTGTTAGAACCAATTCATTCTCGATCTCAATGATCCAATTGTTTATCATTATCTGGAGCATGAGATGAGTAGTAGACATAGAGATTTCCGGTACAGGTTGCATAAGCATTACATGCAATATTCCTCAGAAGAAGCACGACATCACAAACACAAAGATGTTGCACGAGATGAAGATTGGCATTGCTTATGCGATCGTTGGGAAACAGAGAAGTTTAAGGTATGTATTGTGCTATGAATTACTTTTATTCTAAGTATTTTGCTACTAAMTATTATATATATGTCAGAAAATTTCTGAAACAAACACTAGAGCTCGAGCGTCTGTACCATACGGTCATACAGCAGGAACGATCGCATTTTTACGTCACAAAGAAAACATTGTATGTATATCTTTTCTTGTTATAACTTCAAAGAGATTTCACTGCTCATAATCTTGTTTGAATTATGTAGAAAAACAAAGAGGGACGAGAGGTAGATGACATTGAACTGTTCGAAGTAACACACAAAATGATGAACGACGAGTGGGTGAGCCGGGTGGCTGGTCAAAAACATGTACGTAAAACTACCTTTTTTATTTATGTATTATTTGACATGTACTCATATTATTTATGGACATTGTAGGAACAAATGGTTGAACTGAGAAATGCACCAGTGGAAGAAGGTGCAGAATCTCCTTCAGCTCGACAAATCAGTGTTCAAGTACTAGGCAGGCAAGGTGCACTTGGATGGGGACCACCGACGACGACAACTCAGAATGAACGAAGTTCTCAAAGAAATAGAGAGTCAAGAAATCAGATCGCTCAATTGCAATCTGTTGTACAGACGCAACMAAGCCTGCTTGAATCAGCAATGGCTCAATTGAGTCAGTTACAAGAAACTGTAAACAGGCTAAGCAATGCTGGAGAAGGATCGTCACAACGAACTAATTCTCAACCGTCTAATGATGCATAAAAAGGTACTCATACATAT